GGGCTCACAGGCCGACTGTTCTGAGTTTGAAGTATGGTTCACCATTTATTAGCTGTGTGACCTTGGGTAAGTTATTTCACCTTTCTGAGCCTGTTTTCTCACCTGAAAATGTGGATAAATAACAGTGCTACCTTGCAGAGTTGCCTTGAGAATTATATATGTAGAGCATGAAAGTGATTGGGTTATAGTTGCTCAACAATATTAGTTATTTTCCCCTTAGGATTCAAAATAAAGATCCTTTCATGTAGAGGTCATTATATTGTCACTGCAACAGAACCTCTTTCCTTTGCAGAGGAGAAGGAAGAAAGAGTAGCTTTCACTCTCCCAGGATGTAACTGAGGAAGTCAGATAGAGTAATAATTCCCAGAGAACAAAAGCCCAGTACAGAGATACCCTATTCTGCTCTTCAGAGATGTACAATGGCATCCTACAATCTCCGTCATCTACCAGCAGTTGTGACACAGTTGTCATGGCCTGCCTGTGCACAGATTTGGTCATAGCTGTTAAGGTTATCACTGCTTTAATTTAATTATGTGTGTTGTTGGTTCTGTATGTGTTGTGTTTAATTGCCATTTTAAATGTCTTCAAAATCACACTATGATTCAGCATTGAAATGAAAAGTCACTGTGAATACTGAAAGCCACTGAGCAGAGGAGAATGTACAATTGCCATTAACGTAAAGCAAGTATATTTGCATTTATATTTTCTAGAAGAGCAACAAACAAGTTATTTCTCGGACCTAAAACAGAAAGATAGTTTCTAGCAGATAAATTTTTGTTTTGTTTTAATACTGAATTACCCTTGGAAAAACATGGACTTTGATGACTCTGAATCAGAAAATGATTCAGATGAGTAGGATTCTGGATAGGAAGTTTTGGAGCTTACCCAATTTATGTTCCCATATTTCCTTTTAATGTATGCCCAAGAGCAAGAAAAGGTTTTTAAAATTTGTTATTTTAAGTGACCAGAAAGCAAAGAATCATTGTTTCCTTGGTGGCATATTAAGATAAAGAGCAAAGTTGCTCTCTGAAAGAAAACGATGCACAACCCTGTTGAATTTAATGGAGGACACCTGTGACAGGATAGCATTCTTGGGAGTCAGAAGCCCATGTTTAGGGTTCATGCTTGCCAGGTACCTACTAGTCCTCATGGAGTTCTGACCTCCCCATCAGTGCTTTGCCAGGTGTCCCAGAGCCAGGGGTCCTTTGGAACCAAGACTGGAACAAGAAAGTGTTCTCTGAGAGGAAAATGGGTCCAATGGTGCCAGCCATGCGAAGGACTTGGAGAAAATTCCTTTGGACTAGATAGTCACTTACTGAGTGCCTGTCTATCAGGTGCTGCCGCTGTGTTAGGCACCTCAGGGGTTGTCCTGATGCTTACAGCAGTGCCGAAAGGTCTCCACTGGACAGGTACTGCCCTTTTAGAAAACACTCGGCCAAGATATAACAAAAGATATTAAAAAAGAAAAAGTCCTGCCCTTTGACTTAGTAATTCAATGTATGGGAATTCATGCACATGAATTTGTTCATTTTCATAATAATGTTACTTATGTTATTGGAAGCAACTTACTGTCAAACTCTAGGGATAGGATTCAGTAAATTATGATACATCTATAATTGGTGAAAAATATTCAGTTTTTAAGATTGCTGGGCAAAAGGGCATGGCATTTAAACCTACATATATAAATTATGAAGATTATAGAGCAATATGGGGGAATGTTATTGTGACCAACAAGAAAACAATAAAATTTCAAAGATATACAACTGTTAATGTGGTTTAATATTATAAAAGGAATAATGCAGACATAAAAACAGTTGTATTAAGATGATGTAATCATGGGTAGGTGTTATTTTTTTTTTATTCTTTTTGATAAAGAGGCAAAGAAAAGAGGTTTCCAAGAAAATGAGTCAGTAGCTGCAATAATTATTGAGGTATATTGAGAATAGGAATTATTTTCAGAAGGTCCCTAAAATTACCTAGTTTTACATGCTTACTAACAACTGAGATGTTAAGGAGGCTCTGGGTTTCTTTTTCTCCCCCTCCCATAAATTTAAAATTTGTGATTATGTATTTGCAGAGTAAAAATGCTGTAGATTCTAGGAAGACATTTGAAGCTTTGTAGGCAAATGATGATAAAATAAAAGGTATTTGTCCAAATTTGAATTCTTACAAAACATGGAACTGCTATGATTTCAGAATAAATTGTTTCAAGTATTTTCTAAATAGAGAGCTGTTGCAGTCCTAACAATACTTGGCTAAGAAACTATTTCTATGATAGGCCATAATTACTCTTTGGAAAATTATTGGGCTTTAAAAAATTCCTACCTAAAGATGCCAGAAGAGCAAGTCCCACTTTGTCCCTTCTTGTATCTACAGTAACTTCTATAAAGTTCTTTTGCCCTCTCTTTCAGGGTATCATGGATTTTTATTGCTGGGCAAAAGGGCATGGCATTTAAATCTACATATATAAAATTGTACAAAATATTTCTTTTTTTCAGATAGAGCCTATGGTTAAATTTATACAAAGGGTTTTTGCCATAGGTATTATTTTAACCTTTTACTCTGTTTTTTTTTTTTTTGAGAGTCTTTTTCTGTATGTTAACTTGTTTGTTCATATTTCAGTTCTGAAATTCTAATTAAAACTTGTGGTCACTAATCAGTTGCATGATTAAGTGTAAGAACTAGAAAAGTTGATAGAATTTAGTTATGTATTATAGATATGAGCTTTTTTTCCCTCCTATGTGTTAGGCTGTGCTCCTAGACACATTTAATAAGTGGCCATTTTTCTGGAATTCTGCACTCTTCCTGCTTTCTTTCATTACATTAGGCAAGGTTCCACTGGATGAGACATTTGCAGTCTTAAGACTTCCTGCCAGGGTTCAGACTTTGTATTTTTGACATTGAAGCTGTCTTGTTCCTGAAGCTACTTAATTAGAAACACATTCATTTCAATGTACACTGGAAAAAGCTCGGACAGCAAAGCCAGGCACACTGGGAAGTTGGAGCATTTGTGTAGCTGGCAGCTAAACTAATGGTTTACAGTTTAAGGGGGAAAAAAATATCACAGGGCATTTCCTTCTCATAGAAGCAGAGAGAAGCTGAATGTGCCCAGCAGATACCTTAAAAAAAGAGAGAAGACAACGATGGAAGAAAAGAAAGGATAACTTCACTTTCAGTACTGTTGTGTATATGGTTCTTTCTTTGGCTATTATCAAATATAAAAGTCTCCWAGAAGAATAGTTTTCAAACTGTGCTGCTAATATTCAAGTCTGTTCTGCAGACTTCCAAAATATATTACTTCTTAGATCTGTAATAAGAAGGAAATTTTATATTTTGGGGAAGATTTTTGCTTGGAAAATTTTATTTGTTGAATACTAATGAGGGAATTGTGTCCTTTCTTATTTTAAAAATGTTTGAGGGCTGGAGATGTGGCTCAGCGGTAGCGCGCTCGCCTGGCATGCGTGCGGCCCGGGTTCGATCCCCAGCACCACATACCAACAAAGATGTTGTGTCCGCCAAGAACTGAAAAATAAATATTAAAAAATTCTCTCTCTCTCTNAAAAAAAAAAAATGTTTGAGCATGTCAAAATTTACATCTGATCATCTGATGTTTAGAAATTTTTGTTGTCCCACCGTTGCTTCCCAGATAAAGCCTAAACCACTTCATTTTCTGTTGTAAGCAAACCTTTCCTGCTTGGTTACTTGCCCATCCTTGTTTCTTCAACCTATCCCCAAAAAGCCATCCTTGTCCATCCACTTTGACTCCCCCAGCTGTCCCAGAGGAAATGTACCTAATCACCTTAGTATGAACCAAGTGTCTTTCCTCCAGCTCATAAAAATAATAATAATAATGATAAATTTTGTGCACATTTCATACAATGTATCATGTACTGGAGAGACGGATGGAAAAGTTTCCAGTCTCTTCCTTCCTCTCTGCTCTTTGATCTCCCTCATCTGCCCCTAGAAAAGACACCGTGTGATAGGTGAACCTGGGGGTTGTAGGTTCCTTATCAAAGTGACGCCGAAGAAGAAACAGGTACATGTTGGAGTCAAAGCCCAGGTTTTACCATTTCCTTGGTTTTGTGGCATTAAGTGAGTGATTTACTGCTCTGGTCTGTTTCCTCCTCTGTAAAATGTGGGGTTATACCCATCTTATAAAGTTATTTTGTGGATTAACAAAGCTGAATTTATAGGTCTTCATGTAACCACTAGCACATTTATCATTGGTAGGTAGCATCATAAATGATCATGTGTACACACATACTTGCACACAGGCTCCTGAAAACAAAGGAAGGACTGGTCAATCCCAAATGCCCAGGTTTTAAAGCCTTTGAGTTGGGCTCTCCTTCTTTGCTTAGTCACTGAACCTGGGTAACTTGTTGAATGAAGCAGTTAACAGAGTCTTTATGAATGGTATCATCAGGTGGCATGTGTTCCACTGGGTGAAGAAGCTTACTGGCAGCTCTCCAAATACTTTGTTCAGTCAGAATGGGCAGTAGATGACATCTTTTGGTTGTAGAAGAAAACAGCAAATAATAAATTATTCTTCATTGAAACCCATTATGTCCTCCATGCAATTTTTATTGCTTTTTCAATTATAATCATGGCAATCATAGCTTCCATTTATATTGGGAACTCTACTCATCACTTGATGAATATTTTCTGTCATTCTAATAACATTCCATTTGAGTCCAGGTTCCCATTTTAAAGCCTGGGTGACCAAGACCATGCAGCTGCATAGCTGCTGTCAAGGGACTGACACCAAGGCTGGTGCTCTTCTTACTCCCCATGCTGTTTCCAGTGCTGCCTGTGTTTTGAAATTCTTCTGAAGTTTCTAGGCTTGGGAACAAAATGTCACATTAGGATTTTTGTTGTGAAAGGAAATGTAACTGTGCATACGTTTATTAAAACAGTTTTTCTCCAAATAGTGAACCATCTGTAATTTTCTGTTGGAAGCAACAGACATTAAAGCAGCTGTGTGTCTCTGTTTCTCTTCACAGTGCTCCCATGCCCTACCTCATAGGAATCCATTTAAGTTTAATGGAGGTAAGTTGTCTTCTTTCCTCCCTGATCACTCAACTTGGGGTTTGTCTTGCTTTGTGTAGTGGAAAGCTGAGGTCTTGGGATACACATCTCTGTGAATGAGAGCAGATCAAAGCAAAAGCTCATGTGTATTCCCCTTCTGGGTGCACAGGACTGAGTTCCTTTTAGACACTTTCAGTTGGCTCTTGACTCCAGGGCTTTCCCACTTTGCTTAGAGATTACAGGTTTTTATGAGTGAGGGGTTATAAAGGTTATGAAGGCAGGGAGGCCAGAGGAAAGGGTTCTATGAGGGTTTGAACAAGGGAAGAGAAATGGTTCACTTTTTATAATAATGTGTATTCTAAACCACTATAACAGTATTGTATTTTTGTTCTTTTGTATTTTGAGAATATGATATAAATGGTGGATAGAAGTGTGAAGAGGAGTATTAAAATTATCCCCAATACCATTATTCTAGATTGAATTACTGTTMGAATTTTACTATTCTTAATTCTAGTCTTCATTCTGAGAATATGTATTTTAAATAAATGTGCATGATTGATATGTGACATATATATAATTTTATGTCTTAATTTTACTTAACATTATGGTATGAGTACTTCTACATGTTTTTGTCTACTCTTAGTAACAATGATTTTCAATTTGCTACCTGTCATTCCCACCATTTGGATATACCACAACTTAACTATTTTCCTACTGTTGAACACTTAGATTGTTTATAATGTTTTCACTATTATAAATAGCATTTCAGTGAACATCTTTATGCATAAGGCTTTATCTGCATTTTGACTTATTTCCTTAGCGTTGAATCCCTAAAGTAGAAATGCTTGGTCAAAGCTCTGAATCTGATGCCAGATTGCTTTCTGTATGGCTGTACCAATTAGATAGCAGTTCTTTTAAAGGACTTTTCTGTGCTTCTGTAAGTGCCATTAGTTTGTAGACATGAACCTCAAGCCTTTTCCTCCTCAGGAGGGAGCAGACATTTGTACTAGAGCAGAATGGGGCAGGGGGTGGGCGTCTTGCCTATATCACACAGGAGATAAGCTCTGGAGGGGAGTCTACAGCCATGTCCGTCTGTGATGGTGCTTTGCATCTCTTAAAGGAAGTGCTACTTCTCTTCTTCTGTTGCCTTCATTTCACGTCGACGAGGACCACCTGCTTCTCCACTAACTGTTGCACACTGTGCTATTGTGCTTACGAAAATGAAACAAGTTGGTTATCGAAAAACCTGTTTGTTTGACATTGAGAATCTTGATCAAAATAGACCACAGAAATCTGCTCAAATTTCTAATTTGACAGGACGGCCATGTGGCTCCTACATTCTGTTAACAGTCCCTCCCTGTCATCACCCAGCCCTAAGCACATACAGTACACAGTTTATGGACTATCTTGGATGATGTATTTAGATCAGATTGAAGAGATTTCTTCTGTTTTACCTTTATTTGTCAAGTTGGGGAGTCTATTCAAAGCTCTTGTATGAAAAATGAAAAAGTGAATACTTTCTAATAGATCTTTCCCAGCAGTTGCTATAGGGTTTGAAACACTGATCTAAAGACTATTTGGCCTAATCAGCATCTACAACTTCCTCCTGCTTCTCCTCTTGCCTTCCAGTCTGCTCCAGCACAGGCTTTTTCAAACACTTTTAATGTCCCCCTACCTTTAGCATTCTAGATAATTCCAGCAAGTATCTAGTCCTGGATTGCTTTTCTTCTCTACTTGCCCTCTATCATTTGTCTTAAGCTTTTTGCTTCAGTTACCAAGTCAWAGTCATTGACTCTCAGCTGTGACTCTAATGTTGCTCTGCCTCTCTGTATGTCAGGTCCAAAGTTTCAAACACCAACTGAGTTTCACATGGTTGTGCTACAGATGTCTCACTCAGCCTTCCCCCAAACAATTTATTGTCTGTGTGTGCATGTGCATGCCAACACACACACATACACACACAAACACACACACATACACACAAACTCACACTGAACCAATCCACTCCCCTTCCTATATTCCCAGTCCCTATGAATGGAACCATTGGCTTCATAGATGCCAAAGTGGGACACTTTGAGGATGGCTTAGTGTCCCTTTTCTCACTCAGTCTATCTGAATTCTTACCACACCAAAAATGTCTCTTGCCCTGTTTCTCCTTCATTGTCGTCATTGACATGTTTTCTTTGCTTTCCTGGATTCTTGCAAAGCCTTATTTATTCATTTGATAAGCAAAATGAGGGCCTCTTATGTTCCAAGCATTGTGCTTAGTGCTGGACTTTGGAAGATTTATTCCATAGCACTGACATGGAGTGTGTTGCCTTCTGCCTGATCACCGCTTTAGGTGGCCCACTTTCCCTCTGCACTATCCCTGAGTTCTGGGTGGTTTTTTCTTCTGATGTCAGGTCTTCCGCACATCACTGTTAAGAGTACTTGTTAGCTGGTGCGTAGGCTATCAGATTCACATACTTGCACCTTTGCATGGAGAGGCCCTGCCCTTCTCTACCTCTTCCAAGAGGTCCTCAGTCTGCTGTCTTCCTTCTTTCACTTAAAGAACCTCTAACTCTGAATGATAGCTGTTTGCTTCCCTGTTCTCTCTGTCATCCCCTGGAGCATGAATTGTCTGGGAACAACGCATATTGTCATTCTCTGGTGCCCTCGGCATCTTTACGGTGCATCAAGCAGTTCATGCTTACTGAAAAGAAGGGTGGAATGAATGCTTAGGGAATTGTAATTTGGAGCATATTCAGGAGCCCTCCAATGGGCATCACTGTTTGCAGACAACCCAGTACCATAATTTTACATATAAAGACAAGGGAGGTAAATTTTTTTTGTTACCTTTTCTATGATTTAAGTAATTTGAAGCAAGGCCTTTTGTAGTAAAATTTACAGTGCAAAATATGTGTGCATGTTGAAGCTAAAACTTGAAACAGTTTGCACTTAGGTGAATAGGCGAGAGTCTACTCTGTCCAGTTTTTGAAGGGCTTTAAGTATGAAAGCTCAGGACGCACTGGCCAAGATAGATCTTGGCCCTGTCATTTGACTGAGATTGGGAAGGAATTTGCTGTGTTGAACAACTATGTGGTTAACACCAAAAGAAAAACAAACATGGTAGTTCCCCCACCCTTGAAACCAGGCTTTTGAACAAAGAAGTGTTTCCTGGGTGCGTAGGGCAGCTATGAACTCCACATGTCAGAATTTTGTCTCCTGATCTCTTCCCCTGGGTTTCAGCTCACACTCAGAGAGCCCTGTTGTGCTTCCTGAGTAGATTTATCAGGTTCAGTTATACCTTTCAGTGCTAAAGATGCTTCCTCTGTGATTTGCTTCAGGAAAATGGGCTATAACACTTGGGCAGGAGCACAGACCTGGGGCCAAGGAGAGCTCTTTAAGGAAGGAGTTCAGAGAGGCCCATCTCTTCTCACTACACTAGTTTTCTTACTGGCAATTCAGCAAAAGGCTTATTTTTGACTGTCTTGTTATTTTTTCTTGAAAGCTATAGGCACCTTATTATGCCTTTGCATATGTGCCAGAATTTTTTAAACTTCAAATGAATGTGGCAGATGTTCGTAAAAGTTTAGAAAAAGCTACCATAGGAAGACTTTTTAACCATTTTTATGACACTCAAATTTATTGCACAAAAAGAAAGAGAAATTATAATCGAGTATTCTCATTTGGAAAAAGGTTATTTTGGGGAAAGACCTAATTCTAGTCTTCAAGCTCAAACAGGATGCTGTTGCTGTTTGTTAAATGGTAACCTTGTCACCATAAAGAGTCTACTTTCCTTCTAAAGTGACAAGTTTGTAGCTGATATCGTTCTCTCTCCTTCTGCCTTTTGATATTCTTTCTCTCATTTAAGCAATTTGAGGCTAGTGGCAAGTTAGCAGAATAGCCAAGGGTATTGGCATAGACCTCACTTCTTCTTGGAGAGAATGATCATGTTAGTTGGCAGCTAGGAAATCCCAAAACATGGCCAGATTACATAGTGACTATTTCCTTTCATTCAACCGATCTCAATTTAGTTCAAACGACATTTATTCAGTCCCTCTTATATACCATATCTGGCAGCAGGGGCCAGGTCATGCCTAGTAGATGGTGCTTCTGTTTAATAAATGGAGATCTACCCCCAAGCTTCACAGTGTTTTGTGTACAGGCCTGGAGGGGGCTAGGGGGCATGTATCCAGAAGGTATTCGATATTACTGTTGATGGTGGATTAGTGAGGAAGGAGGAAGGCAAGGTGATAGCAATGACATAGTTCCAAAGAGAAGCTCAGGCTAGCTTGTAAATGAAGTTCCACCTGTACGCTGAGGCAGTGAGGGCCCTGGATTCTGGCTTTCCTCCTTCCTGCTCATGTGATCTCAGGCAAGGCAATTGTCTGCTGAGCCTGGTTTTCTCACTTATAATCAAAGGGTAGTGGCCAAATCTTCTTTGAGGGATCATGGAAAGGATATAGTGAAAAATTCATGAGATGTCCAGCACATACAGAGTGCTGCAAAGTCTACAGTTATTGCTGTTTCTATTTATTCAGTGGCCTTAAAGCCATTTACATTGTTAAGGTGATGACTTTGAAATTGTTTTAGAAACCCTTAGGTTCCAAGGGTCATCATCCTCATTCCCTAGAGAAAAAGCTTTAGCATTGTTGGTTTGTGCCTGCCCCATTTTCTCCTGGTTTGCAGTATAGGAGGCAGTACCAGTATTGGGAATGATACTTTGTAGGATTTGATAAATGTGCTTCTGTACTTCTCTGTGGCCACTTCTTTACTATGTTAACTTCAGTCATGATACTTTGTCTTTCTGAATTTTTTTTTAACTTTCTTTATCTACAAGAGCTAAGTCCTGCAGATGTCCAGCATATTCCAGAATCTAACATATGTCAGAAACCCAGGATAGAGGATATAGTTTTTCCCCAGCAATTTGTTGGCAATCTTGTGTCCAGGCATGGCACTATACCAGGAGCTCTGTATAAAATGGTGATTATGACATAACCTCCACCTTCTTGACATTTGGTCTGGAGCAAATGCACACA